TTATTATTTGGAATAATAAATTGATATAAATGATTTACTAATATATTATAAGAATGATATATTAATTAGAAATCATGTTATTTAATTAATATTTAATCAGAAATTAATTTGGATTTAATTTTGGGATTAAAGGAATTAATTAAAAGTACATGGGTTGTTTTGCAATTAATTGATAGTTGTGAAATAGGGCTCTTAGACTCCTTAGATAAGAGTGGACGAAAATTATAGGGAGACCCTATAGTTTTTCGTCCAAGGCTTCTAGATGAGGAGCCAATGGGATGCTTAGGCCTTAAGCTGAAAATTAGGGTTTCCACCTGCAAACCCTAGCTTTGGGACTAAGCAACCTAAAGTATATAAGGAGCCTAACCCTTGGGATTTTCGGCCACTTGCTTCTAACTCTAGCATAGCCAAAATTTTGGTGATATATCCTCCTCTCTCCTCTCATCCTCTTGCAAAGAGTGTTTGTAAGCAATTATAGGTGTCACATTTGAGGCACTTGCTCTCAAGAGTTCAAGATCTACAAGGATTAATTGTTATTACTACATAACAATTGAGTTATGTATCTAAACCCTAGTATTAGGTTAATTTCGATTATTATAGATGCATATTAGGGTTTCTCTTTTGTATTCAAGTTTGCATGTTCAACTAGTGAAAACCTAGATCCAAAGTTTATAGGGTTGCATGAACACATAGGATTTGTAGTTATGCTCAATACCCATCACTAACCCTCCGGTGTACCGGCGCGACAGCCCTATTATAATCATAAATGATTATATAGTGCCGCCCGTTTCTTTCTCCTCCACCACCATCTCCACCACCACAACCGCCATCGCCACCACCACTACAACCACCTCTGACACCAGCTGACCCCACCACTGTCACCTCCGTCACTTATACCACCGCCACCTCTATCACCACCACCTTTTCTGCCACCAACTGTCATAATCATTTATAATTACTTAGTCTATGAACAGACATATATGTATAATCATTTAGGATTAGACATACCCTGCTATTGCTGCTATGCTGGAGCGTTAGAGTGGCAAATGAAAAATATGTGGCTGAGGTTGAATCTCAAAACCTCTGTTTTTTTAATCTCAAGTGAACCATCCCATATATATATATATATATATATATATATATATATATATATATATATATATATATATATATAACATGTGCACCAATTACAAGATTCTCAATTAGACTCTTTTTTGTAGGAATTGTTATGTATGTTCTAAAAATTGAAACTACTTTTAAAATAAGTTGAAACTAATCAACATGTAACCAAAATTGAAACTAATCAAAATTTTAGCCAATGAAGAACATGAAAACGAGATGTAGAACCTATGATTGAAGGAGATGGCTAGATACCAATAGATTTCATGAATTAATTTCAAAAGGTAATTTCATCAAAATACATGTATGATCTACCAATAATCTCATTAACTATGATCACCTTGTGATCATGGTTAATGAGATCATTGGCAGATCATACATACCTTCTAAAATGCAGGTTAGTGAATAGGGTGAATCAAGGTGAAGATGTTGAGGAAAAAGGTTAGAACTGGCATGTAAGAATCTGTAGGTATGTTGCGTGTTTCTTCAAGAAAGTCGGTGTTTTTATTTGGAAAATGAATTAAAATACAATAATAATGATTGATTTTCAAGTGATTAGAATTCACAAGTAGATGAAGAAAAATGAATGGAAAAAAGATTAATGTTCCAACCTGTAACATTAAAGATCCAAAGGAAAAAGGCAATAAAAATCAACTCATGCAAGAATCAAAGGCATGTTTTTATTTGGAAAACGAATTAAAATATAGTAATAAACTAATAATGATTGGTTTTCAAATGATTAGACTTCACAAGCAGATCAAGACATAAACAATGGCAATTAGCCTCCTATTTCATAAAAGCTACTGATTAACCACCAGTTTACCTGAAGAAAGAAGTAGAAGCAGCAGCAACAACAACAGATTATTCTATATTTCAAACGAACAAAAAATTAACCTCTTCAAATATATATGTTAAACTAGGTGGAGGGAAGAAAGTGATGAAAAATCTTATTAGCTGGCAGCAAAAAAGGGTTAAGGTAGTGGCCTAGTGGGCTTACAGTGAAGGATAGGCATGTATTTACGAGTTGATGGAAGATCAATAGTTTTTTGTTAACATCTAAAGTTAAATAGTAACTGTAGCTAGCCAGAGACACTCACAATTGGACAACACCTCAAAAAACCAAGACATACAAGAAGTGAGTTTTCTAAAATATAACTTAACTAGTTACGTCATACGCCTATAAACGCGAGCCTTGCAACTCAGCAAAAGTCTGCTTAAGTGATATATGACATAGATTATTTTAGCTTCATAGTGTAGTTTCACAATGTTTAATTTAAAACACTATACTATTTCTTACTTCTATTTGTACAATGGACATAAATTTATGTTTATTTTGATAACTAGGTTACAACCCGTGGATACCACGGGTAAAAAATTTATAAAACATTTATAATTATTATTAAGAGTTAAGTTTTTTTTAAACTTTTTGTTTTGATTATTTAAAATTAATATATATTTATAAAACATAATATAAAATTTTGTATATTGTAAATGATTTATAAAACATAATATAAATTTGAATAGAGTTCAAAAAGAAACACAATGAATAATACAAATGACATTGATATATAAATATAAAAAATAAAATATAACAGAAATGTAATAAAAAAACATAATAGTTTAACTTTAAAAACTACGAATCGTTTATAAATTTCTAAAAACTTCCTTATAAACAACATTGGAAGTTTTGTTTATAAGTCTACCATCTTTATCTAAAATTAATAATTTCAATCCTTTTCTACATTGAACTCTAGATAAGGCAACATACAACTGTCAATGTGAAAAAACAGGATTTTTGAGATACAGACCAAACTTCGATAGCGACTGCCCCTGAGTTTGAGTTTTATTAATTGTCATTGCAAAACATAAAACCAATGGAAATTGTCTTCTTTGAAATTTGAAGGGAATTTTTTTTTTCAGAAGGAGTTAAAGACATTCTTGGAATAAAAGTTCGGTTTCCAATATTACTTCCAGATATGATAACTGCCTCAATAACATGTTTGCCCAGAGATTTGACTTGTAGTCTAGTGCCGTTACATAAGCCATTTTTCTGATCAATATTTCTCAGTAACATAACTGGAACACCGACCTTTAAAATTAACTTGTGATTTGGCAAACCTGATACTTTAAGACCATTTAAAACATCTGGGGAGTATAAATTGGCATCAAACTGATCATGAACAAACTCAGATTGGCAGAGACTATCTGAACTTAAATATTCTACTTCGTCTCCGGGAAACAATGATAACAAACGATCATTTATTTGTTGGACAACTTCATTTTTTGGAGCAAGTATAGCTCTTTCTTGAAAATAACCCGTAACGTTGAAGTTTTCCAAAATTGAAGGATATACAAACTCAATTAATGAACCTATAGGATCAAGTGGATCATTAATGAGAAAATCATCCGGAACATCAATAATCGTTTCACCATCGTTCGAACCACCAACTTTTCCTTCTCCTATCCAAAAGCCTGTTTGCAAAATCCTTTATTTCTCGAATATCAGATGGATCCCTTCCAACAGTTAGCCTCATGTTTATCGTTAATCTATGGACTTTGCATTGTTGGCATATATACGAAGAACTTAAAGAAGCATTAACGATGATTTGTTTACTACCTCCTTGAACAACAGGTAGAATTTGTCTGAAGTCTCCTCCAAAAACAATCGCTTTCCCTCCAAATGGAATATTTGAGTTGCTAGACTTGTCAAACTTACATACATCTTTTAGAGCTCGATCTAAAGCTTCAAATGCATACTTGTGGACCATAGGCGCTTCATCCCAAATAATCAATGAGCTTTTTCTTACTAATATGTCGAGTTCACTATCAGGCGGTATCTTACAAACAGAATCCTGCGTAAGATTCAATGGAATTATAAACCGAGAGTGTGTTGTCCTACCTCCAGTCAATAATAACGATGCAATACCACTTGAAGCAACATTTAAAACTATCTCACCATTACATCTAATTGCTGCAGATATTGTCTTCCAAAGAAAGGTTTTACCCGTTCCACCATATCCATACACAAAAAACACACCTCCTTTCTTATCCTTGACTGTAGTCATGATATCAAGAAAAATATTGCGTTGCTTGTTTGTTAATGCAAAAAACATACGATCAAACTCTTTCTTTAAAATTGGTATGTCATAGTCTAGCTCTTTCGTGATAAGGCGATTCTTTGAAGCAGAAACAGAATCAACATCAGGGTAAGGCATTTTTTTATAATTTTTAAGACTGGTGTTGTTACGAAGTAAAATTTGTTCGATCTCGAACAAAGTCAGGTTTTTAAGTTGATCTTCATTGAGTGATAAACATGTATGATGAACAATATGTCAAAAAGAATATAATGTTAAACAGTTTAATGGTAATAAAAAAATTGTACCCTGCATATTGAAAATATATAATATTAGTTTTTACAAATAATGATAGAAAATTATAATACCTCGAGACTTTAATCTACGTTGGTGGTTGTAAAGAATACCATCTGACAAGTGTTGCCATGTATTTTCCCAAACAAATTCTGGTCTACCCAAACTGTTAGACATTAACATCGTAGCAAATAAGAACCGTAGATAAAAACCAGTTCCTGAATGACTTGCTTCCATAATTGCATTGACATATTCTTTGTCGTCATCTAAGAGGCCCAAAGCATAACATGCATCTCTAAAAGAAGGAAATTCTTTACCATTTATTGTACGAATTTCTTCAAATGATTTTGGACCTTTCACTTTATTTAAAAGAATCCTTAAGAAGTATACTTCGCCAAGTTTAGGTGAAACCGAGTGAATTCTTCCAGTTTAACGTCCAATTTTCCTTGGCTTCCAAAACCTACCATTAGGTTTCCAAACAAACTTTGTAGGAAATTCAACATATGTAAGTTTTCATGCATCTTTATTAATTTTATTACATTCCATCCAAGATGTGAACATAGAAGCAGCAACTGAAGGTTGTTCAAGAACATTGTCAATATCATCGTCTGCAACATATATGACTTGTTGTTGATCAGGAAGATGAAAAGGTAGTCGAATCACAGAAGGATATCGGTAATGAACATCGTATCCGAATATTCGCCATGATGCCTCACATGCAGATAGATATCTACAAGCATAATAATCTTTTATTTCATCTACAACATCGTCGTGATCAGAATCGTTGTTGCCTTGTACAACAGCAATTGTAGCTCTATTTGGACCCTTATTTATATATTTAAATAGATACTTTATGGAAGATCTTTGATTGCACCATTCAACATGAATGTGTGCATGATATGTTTTCAACAGATATTTGTTATATGGAACAACATTTCTGTTGTCTAACTTGACACCAGATTTTTCGACAAAATATCCATTGTTTCTTCTCATATATAAGGGATAACCGTTGGCATCAACTGAAGAATGATTAGAGAATTGGTTTGGAAAATTTTTCGAACATTGTTTGTCAACCATGCATGGGCAATTCATATTTTCAGCTCCACAAGGCCCATGTATCATGAATTCACTCACAAGTGAATACAATTCTGGATCTTCATTGATGTTCGGAATCTCAGCGGAAATAATCGAATCAATATATTCAACAGTAGGCCGCTTGGAGTCAGCATGCATAAATAGACAAATATGACTGTGCGACAAACCTCTTTTTTGAAATTCAATTGTATAGACCACTACAAATTAATTTTATAAATAACATATGATTTGTATTGGATGAAATATATTGCGTAAATAATAAAAAATGTCAATAAATAAAAAAAATTAATAAAATAAATGTGTGTATTAAACAACAACTTTAAATACCTGCTTGAACGATGCCGAAAATTTTATTTTCCCGTATGTCTTTAATAAAAGCATCAAGCTTTATCTTAAATAACCTACATAAGATATAAAGTCTATCTTCTGGATGTAGTGAAGTGTTATGAAGAAACCTTTTAATTTCAGGCCATTTTGGATTAAATGTAAAAGGTTATGAAGAAATCAGGATATCCAAACCATTTACATAACGACATGACGTCCAAGTAGTTTTGCATCATATAGCGTACACCGCCAGTGAATGAAGAAGGTAAGATAACACATTGTCCGATGTTAGATATATCTTTATTCCCGGAATCTTGTTGATTACGTAATTTCTCATAAGACTCGCATCTAAGAATTTGTTCTTTGCTCCTTACGAAATGTAATTTCTCACTTTCAATCATGGTATAAGCATCTACCAAAAACTGTTGGAACAACCTTTTTGAATAAAGAATTAGTGAAAAACATTGATCCCTGTCTTGTATTCTATAAGAAAAATATTCTCTCATTGTACAGTTGGGCCGCTTGCTGTTCTTGAAGGTGTAATACCTCGATGCGGTATATCAACTCTATAACCATCATCACCATATGGAAACAGTAGCGGATACTGAAGAGGAAGTTATGAAGGATGTAATTCACTAATACGCCTTAGAGAACCAGATGAAGTTTGAACAACAATATCTCTATTATCAATTGAATCACCAATATCTCCAACAATGAAAGTGGCAACCTCAGAAGCAGTTGGTAGGTTATATGTCCTTCAATCTTGTTCCCTTCTTCCAATAATTCTCAACTTGATATCAACATGAGGGTTTTCATGAAAACAATCTCTAAGTATTCTATAAGACTGAACCAAAACGTTATTTGAATCTAACATCAACTTTAAATCTTGTATAATATCATTATCAACGACAGAAGAATTTGATGTAGATTGTTGATTTTCTCCACTGCAAGTAACATGAACATATAAACATAGGATAAATAAAGAAAGTAATGATAATCAATAAGATATTTATTAATTAGAAAATTGTGAAAAGTATACCCAAGACATGTTTGTCTATTTTCGATCTCATTATCGGTATCATATATGTACAACTGAGAGAACTTTGGTTTAGATCCATGTTCTGGTAAAAGGCTTCCAATACTATGATAATTTTGACCGCTAAGTCTAAAAGTGTATGGAGCATTTCCTCTATTGATTGATGAATCAATTTTGCCACCCATTGATGTAAAAGAAAACATAGAATTGCAACGACGAATGTTCTTCATGAAGTGTTTGCTTTTAGAATCTCCAGATCTATAAAGATTTTCATAACTTGGAGGTGCATTATTTAGCTCTGGTAGTTCAACTTTGCCATAAGCACAACATAAAGAATAATTAACATTCTCTGTTTTTTTTACTTCTAACAGATTCATCTTTCCATAATTTTGCAAACATGTTTGGCACACAACACTCTGATCACCATGATCTAAATAATCTGTTAATTAAGATTGACATAAAAAAGTTAATCATGTAAGTGTATATAATTGAAAAGGAATGAATGGACAAATGTAAATATTGTATTTGTGAAAAAAATTACCTTTTGATATACCGGTGTGTATGTTTTGATTATGCTAGCAATCATTGTTGTCTTCATCGGATCTCAGACCAATTATTGGAATAGGAGATAAATTTGCATATTTTCTTTTATTTTTATGATTTGGATTAGTTAACATGACTGATGACCTTGATGATGTTGTAGATGATTTGTCGGATGTGACACCATTTGAAGATACAGAGTATTGTCTGATATTTGGTAACGGTGATTGAAAACTGTTATTAGAAATATCAATGGCTGGGGAAAAAATATTGAAGAAATATACATTGTTAAATATGATAGAATAATATATATATATATATATATATATTAAAATGAAATGGTAAAATAAAATGAATTACCATTGGAAATGTTAGATAATGGAGTTCTAACATTTAGATGTGAAGGAGGAGTCTGTAACGTTGCTTGTTTTGACATATTTACACTTGATTTAGATGCCAATACGTTTTTATTTCGATGGACAACTCCTTTGAATTTGTTTGGAAAAAAAATTGTTATAAGAAATGCAGAAATTTTTAATAATTTATTTAATATTATATGAAGATTAATATTGTTAAAGAGATGATATAAAAATGATGATGTGATAATTTTTATTTTATATATTTAAAAGAAGAATAAAAAGTGTAAAAGGAATTAAATAGTTTACCGTTTTCCTTCATTTTTGAAACATGTGATGTGTATTGATTGGTTCGGTGATACATTTTTTTTTATCCAAGTATAACTTTCTTATTTTTCTTTTTTCTCTAGCTTGAACATGATAGATTTTCCAATTTGAATCTGCATAAGCATATATATAAGATAGTTATAATTGAGATTAATAATTAATAATATTGATAAAACAAATTCGTAAAATATATAATAAACGTACCGTTAGCACCTGGGTTAATAACATTTGTAGAAGATGGAATTTGACAAATGATATAGTGTATAAAGGTATATGTTTTGTATTATCCAGATAAAAATTATTTAATTTTATCTTCTTATTAGTCTTAAAAAAAGTCCATGTTAATGCTTACAATCTGAAATATAAGAAAATTTATAAGTTTATACAAAAAGATGAGATGTTCAAATTTATTGTAAAAATTTAAGAATAAATACATATGGAAAGTCTAAAAATATAGATTGCCATTAAATCGGTATAAAATCTTATAAATTAACTGTAAAAAAAAATATTTATGTGTGTGTTCTGCTAGTAAATATTTTGATTTTGAAATACTTGTGTAAATAAATATTAAAAAATTGGCCATTTATAGGGCCCATTTTTATAAATTCATTTTCATAACGGGAGTAAAAAATTAATATTTCTTTTGATATTTTTTTTGGTTTTATTATTTAATGATGTAAATGGTCCCTGTATGAAAGTGAAATTATATAAATTGTCGTTGTTTTGTAAAAATGGCAAATAAAGTTATATTATCAACTAACTATAATTGGGTATATTTGTAAAAATATAATACGAGTTGATGGAAGATAAAAGTTTTTTGTTAACATCTAAAGTTAAATAGTAAACGTAGCTAGCCAGAGACACTCACAATTGGACAACAATAAGTGAGTTTTCTAAAATATAGCTTAATTAGTTACATCATACGCCTAGAAACACGAGCCTTGCAACTCCGCAAAAGTCTGTTAAGTGATATATGACATAGATTATGTTAGCTTCATGGTGTAGTTTCACAATGTTTAATTTAGGGAAATCTTCAGAAAAGTCTAAATATTTTCGGAAAAGTTACATTTTAGTTCCAAGATTTTTTTTTTGAACGAAAAAGTCCTGAAAACCGGCAAAAATTTACAGTTTGACCATTTTTGACCGGTTGAAACCGGTACCAAATTAATTTGGGACTATTTCGTAAACTAACCCAAAATATAGGGACTTTGCTGTAAACAAAAAATATTAGGATTTTTCTGTAAACAAAAATATTATGATTTTTCTACAAACAAAACTCTTATTATTATTATTATTATTATTATTATTATTATTATATAAATAAGAATTCTAGTTTTTGAACTTGTTATTATTAATATTGTTATTAATACATATAAATGCATTTAAATGAAAAAAATAATATTAATGACATTATTTAATGGTGGAGGTGGAGGAGATGGTGATGCTTTTAGCATTGAAATCATGAATATTTACTTGTATATTTTTACTTTGTATATGGTCATTTCACTTTTGTTATTATTGTTTTCAATTCAGAATAATAATACTTAACAATTTAAAAGAAGTTGTATATTTGTAAAATTGTTTATAAATAGTTTAAGGTAAAAGGATTTTTCATTTTGTATATAAAAATGTTTTACGTAGAAGGATTACTTTCCAAATCCAACAGATCCACTACAAACATCTACATAGGTAGCCCATGTCAAAATTCAAAAATATTAATTACAATATCTTGCTTGATAAAAAGTAATAGGATATGTTTTTTGGATTAATACTTTTGAATTTTGATTAATACTTTTGAATTATTCATATTACTTTTTATTAAACAAGATATTGTAATTAATACTTTTGAATTTTGATATGGGTTACCTATGTAGATGTTTGTAGTGGATTTGTTGGATTTGGAAAGTAATTCTTCTACCTTAAACAATTTTATATACAAAGTGAGAAACTCTTCTACCTTAAACTATTTATAAACAATTTTACAAATATGCAACTTCTTTTAAATTGTTAAGTATTAATATTCTGAATTGAAAACAATAATAACAAATGTGAAATGACCATATCCAAGTAAAAATATACAAGCATACATTCACGATTTCAATGCTAAAAACATCACCATCTCCTCCACCTCCACACTTAAACAATGTCATTAATATTATTTTTTTATTTAAATGCATTTATGTGTATTAGTAACAATATTAATAATAACAAGTTCACAAAATAGTATTCTTATTTATATTTTTAATAATAATAATAATAATAATAATAATAATAATAATAATAATAATAATAACTAGAAAGGTTACCCCCGCTACCCGGGGGCCAGAAGCTTTCAACGTTGTTTCCGAATTGATAAATATGACAGACATAGAAAGTGCAAGGATGAAAAGTCCGGGCTTTGCCCCGGACAAAAAATGTAAAAGTTTTGACTGCAAGGACCAGAAGTGTGAAAATGGCTAAAGAATTAAAGGGGTAGGAATTAGCACTTTTTAGAAAATGGATCAAAGTTGTCAAACCGTTAAAGTTTTGTGGCCAAACTTTAAATATTAAAAGGTTCCAAAAAAGTGTAAAAATACTGATTGCAATGACCAAGAGTGTCAAAATTGGTAAATAATAATGAGCAAAGTTGCCAAAAAAACATCCAAATTTAGTATTCCTAACTTCCAACAATAATACAGGGACCAATTCTGCCAAAAAAATGGGAAGTTGAATGGAACACAAACAAAAGGACATGAATAAATTAATTAAAGAAGTACAGGGACCGGATATGTAAATCAGGGGACCAAACCTGGACAAAGTATGCCAACTTCACTATTCCTTTCTTCCACAACTTTAATATATATACTAGAAAGGTTACCCCCGCTACGCGGGGGCCAGAAGCTTTCAATGTTGTTTCCGAATTGATAAATATGACAGACATAGATAGTGCAAGGATGAAAAGTCCGGGCTTTGCCCCGGACAAAAAATGTAAAAGTTTTGACTACAAGGACCAGAAGTGTGAAAATGGCTAAAGATTTAAAGGGGTAGGAATTAGCAAATTTTTAGAAAAGGGATCAAAGTTGTCAAACCGTTAAAGTTTTGTGGCCAAACTTTAAATATTAAAAGGTTCCAAAAAAGTGTAAAAATATTGATTGCAAGGACCAAAAGTGTCAAAATGGGTAAAGAATAATGAGCAAAGTTGCCAAAAAACATCCAAATTTAGTATTCCTAACTTCCAACAATAATACAGGGACCAATTCTGCCAAAAAAATAGGAAGATGAATGGAACACAAACAAAAGGACATGAATAAATTAATTAAAGAAGTATAGGGACCGGATATGTAAATCTTCCAACAATAATACAGGGACCAATTCTGCCAAAAAAATGGGAAGATGAATGGAACACAAACAAAAGGACATGAATAAATTAATTAAAGAAGTACAAGGACCGGATATGTAAATCAAGGGACCAAACCTGGACAAAGTATCCCAAGTTTACTATTCCTTTCTTACACAACTTTAATATATATATATATATATATATATATATATATATATATATATATATATATATATATATATATATATATATATATATATATATATATATATAATAAGGATTTTGTTTGTAGAAAAGTCCTAATATTTTTGTTTACAGAAAAATCCTAATATTTTTTGTTTACAGAAAAGTCCCAATATTTTGGGTTAGTTTACGAAGTAGTCCCAAATTAATTTGGTACCGGTTTCAACCGGTCAAAAAGGGTCAAACTGCAAATTTTTGCCGGTTTTCAGGACTTTTTCGTTCAAAAAAAAATCTTGGGACTAAAATGTAACTTTTCTAAAAATATTGGGACTTTTCTGAAGATTTCCCTTTAATTTAAAACACTATACTATTTCTTACTTCTATTTGTACAATGGACATAAATTTATGTTTATTTTGATAATGGGCTTACAATTGTAATTATCTTCATGAGTTTGTATGTAACATCCGGAAAATTGGCCTAAAAGTTTGTCATTTTTGTGAAAAAAAATTAAATAGTAATAATAATAATAATAAACTTTTGTGGTAGCGATAATAGCAACTTTATCTGTAGATTTAAATGTTGACCAATTAAAAAAAACATGAGAGAAAGATGGAAGTGTAACATCCCAAAATCGAGACTCAAAATTTTTTG